TGCGTGGAGCAGAGGCAGATGGTCAAGGACGGCGTGCCAGGTGCTGGTGGACCCCGCGGAGGCGTCAGCCGCTACTACACAGAGAAGAACGTCCGCAACACACCCGAGCTCCTCAAGCTCCGCAAGTTCAACAAATACCTTGGCCGCCACACCCTCCACGTGGAGATCAAGTGAGGGAGCACAAAGTCACAACCGACAGCAGCATCGGAAAAAGCGAGTAGCAGACGATGTCGGCGCGGTTTCGTAATGCTTTCATGTCCAAATTCGATGAGCGCTCTTTATTGAACAGCCTAAGGCGGCGCAATGCTGACTGCGATAGCACAGGTGGCATGGCAGCATCCCTGACGGATTGTGGGTTGTGCGCTTGAGCTTCTACTTACCTTTCGCACCAGGCATGGCAGACCAAGATCCGGGAATCCAATTGCCAGGTCCGTTGAGTGAGTAGTTCATTGATTCCGCGTCTCCTAAGCCTCAGTCGATCACTCGTTAGCAGCTGGCATTCTCGTATCCTTTCACGGTGCTCGTGCCCGTGCTGGGCAAAGGACTTGGCCAACGTGCTGCGATCAATGGCAACCGCTGCGACTCGATAGCATAAGAGCTCAGGCTGATATGTCTACTCAGGTGGAGAAGTTTTCTTTGTGTGTCGGCAGGCAAGCCTTCCTCCCTTGCCCGACTTAGGCGGCATCGCTTCCCGCGAACATGCTCGCGGCGGTCGGGCCAAACCGCTTCTCCAGCTCAGCGCTTCAGTCTGCTCAGAGTTCAAAGGCGGCGGAGGCGACGGCTCTTCGCCTGCACGGCCGCATCCTTAAGGGCATTCTGCAGGGTTCTATGAGGTCTCTGCAAGCCTTCCTTTTCGGTGGCCCGAACCAGAGCCTGCGGCCGTAGAGTGATCACTCTGTCGCCCTCCCGGCGGCATCCTGTGGATCCGGAGGCGGAGGGGTGCGGGTGGGAGCCGCAGTCTGACAGAAGAACGTTTTTCTTGGCTTGAGAGACATCCATCTTGCAAAGGCTTCCTGGTAGCGATGTTGCATGTTGTTGCCTTCAGTGCTCGGCCCAAAAGCATCCTGCGGCGGTGAATCACCGCACGCCCGGACGCCTTTGCCTATGGCAGGATGTAGGAATCTATGCTGCGCGGGCTTGAAGGGCTTGCCACGTCTCCTTGGGCAAGGAGGAGGAGCCCAGGAAAAGCGAGGATCCAAAGAGAAAGAGACCATAGCCGACGTCGCGACCGAGAACTCCGTGGCTGGAGCCAACACTGCGACGGAAGCCCAAAGCAATGCCGAGGTCTCGGAGTTCTGCGGCTTCCAAACGAAGCCGGAGCCCTGCCCGATCCAGGCCCCAAGAAAGGAAAAAGGTGGGACGTGGGGGGAGGGGGCCCGCGTTGCCTGAATTGCCAATGCAAGGTGCAGCCGCAGAACATCGCTCGCTACAGCTTGCCGGAGGAGGCCCTGTCCTACGTCCCCGAAGAGACGGCTGTGGTAATGCCTTTTGCAAATGGAGACAAAGAGCGGCTGATCTCTTGCAACATCGAGCCTAGGCCTAGACCCCATGGTTCTTGCTAAGCGGCATGATTCATGGTTGAGCATAGTACTCGTAGAAGGCCAGGGCCGGGTAGTCTTGCATAGGGGAAAAGCCAAGCCCAGGAGCTCTCAACGGAAGAGCTTCGCTGGCTTAAGGAGTTGAGGAAAGAGGCTGAGAGGCAGCAGAAGGCCTTCCTACCCTCCGTGGCCGTGGCTGCTGTCCGCTTCTTAGGCGATGCCAGGGGAGATGTGGACTTGGCCCTTCAGGAGATGGAGGAAAACCAAAGTTGGCGCCTCTCCTACTTCCCCAAACCCTTGCAGGACACCGAGCTCTTGTCAGATCTCAAAGAGGGTGCCGTCTACTTCTGCGGAAGGGACTTCGCCTTGCGCCCGGCGCTCGTGATGCGCGCTGGGCGAGTGCCCTTCACCTGGGATGCCCCGCGCTTTGCAAGGCTCTTCATGTTCTGCATGGAGTATTTCCTCCGTTACATGGCCGTTCCCGGGAGGGTGGAGAATGTGGTCGTCATCATCGACTTGCAGGACATCTCCTATCGACACATGGCTATCCCGGCGCTCATGGAACTGAAGGAAGTTTTTACTCACCAGAATGCAGGGCGTGTCTTCTGCTTCTATGTCTGCAACATGCCATTTCTGGTTCGGGCCCTGGTCAATGTCGTGGAGGCCGCCATGACGGAGAGGGCTCGCCAGAAGATCCGCTTCCTGAGCGACGTGTCGCAGCTGCGAGAGGCCAGCGGTTTCCTTTTTGTTAAAACTGGCCCTCGGTATTTCAAGCTGCGACCAGCGCTGCTTCGTTTGTTGATTCGGTTTCGTGTCTTCACTCAGCGGTATCACAGTACGATGACCGTCAATACGGTGGTCTTCATTGCATGTCTTAGGCTCTTATGTAGTATTGGTACATTATGAACGTGTCATTAACATGTTCTTGATTCCCTTTTTGATATACGATTAGTATAAATATATGAGCATATATCTTTACATAGTCACTCTGCAGGACTTTGCCTTGAATCAGCTGGAGCGGGACTTGGGCGGCTGTCGCGAGGCCGCGACCTCTTTCTTCCCCTTCCCACTGCCACCAGGACCGGACTCCTCTTTCGTGCCTGCTGCTCACCATAAAAGGCACCATCATGATCCTTTCCAACAGATATCACCATAAACTATGCAACCAGTCAGATTCACGATGATCATGATAATGTCAACATCAACATCACTGAAAGCAGGAAGCCAAGAAAACCATGTAGAGCAGCAATGGCTTCTCCACTCTCGGCTTGGCCTCTCTCTGTCTCTCTCAGTTTCTCTCCCTCGCATCTCGATTTTTTAGGTATTCTCACAGCAAACCGGGAGGGTGGCGGAGCTTCAGAGATTCTACTGGTAGTCATCATACTATGAGACAGAGGACCCTTTGCAGCTGGCTCTGCTGGATCCAGGGAAGACGCGGTGGGTGATCTCCATCAGATCATGACGCGAGCTGGGGCCCGCGGCCGTTTGTGGGACCCTGCCACGAGGTCGAGTTGCATGGAGTTTGCTGAGACAGCCCCAGACTTCCTGAGACAGCATGGCCTCGAGCATTTGCTGGATCAAACTGGGCATGTTCGTGCGAAAGCCTTTGCCGAGAGTCCTCAGCAGGTGGACCTCTCACCAGAAGAGGTCTCACTGCGTTGCATCTTCTCGTGCGAGCCACTGTTTAAACTAGGTTGCCAGATTGGCAAATGATCGCCCATGCGAGGGCTGCGAGGGCCATGCGGCTGCCGCCAAAGGCTTCGCTGGCCGCTGACAGTGGCACAGCCTTGAAAGGCACTCCTCCGAACCCTCGGTTTCACTAAGCACAGCCACTGTGTCTCTTATGAGATGCAGCTCATGCAGCGACAAGTTGGCGCGCAGGTAGCAGAGGATGTCAACATGTGTATACATGGGACCCCCACGTATATGTACGTCGCAAGACTGTGAGGACAGACAGGTGGAGATCTACCCAAATATCATGGTGCATTTGTATGTGCATAAAATACATACATAATGCAAGCAATGCAATCTAGTCTGCGATACTGGAAAGAAAGAGCATGTATTGTCAAATGGAATGCAATAGAATAGGACATAATATCAGACGATATATAACTATAAAACAACATAGCAGAGCACAACACAATGTAATCCAGTATGGTGTTTATGATATACAACATTTTTAGATAGTGGTATACCATAATTCCAATGCAGTACTAATTATACAACACCAGACAGCTTGACATATTGCAATAAAGCATATTACAATAGAGCACAACACAACGTAGCAAAGTACACATGTCTGGACCCGTATTTCGAAGCGTTCTGAACATCATATAAAAAGAGAGCTGACCGTAGTTCCTTCGCAGCCTCGGAGGAGAAAGAGGAAGAAACAGCCATCGTACAATGCACTAGAGTGAATCCCGATATAAGGCAATTCTGTGCACGTAAGATAACATTAGCATAGGCCAGAGCAGAACGGACGAGGGTATCCCGTATTCTGCACGCCTATATGTCTACATGCGTGTATGTATGTACATATGTACTTATGTATGTGTGCATGCGCTTGTGTATGTCGACATGCGCATGCATATTTGCACAAGCGAAATTCCATACGAAGTTGCGAAGTACGTAAATACATACGTCATTGCACAGGTAAATGGATATCTATCTATATATATATATATACACACCACTCATACATATATACACGTGCATACATATGTGTGTTCGGTTGTTTTATTGTAGTTACCTGCTAAACTCCCGGAAAACTGCACTCCCAAAGGGCCCCCGGCTGGGATGTTGATGTAATTTATGTAAGTATCTTGTTGTCACGCATGCCTCTTTCTCAGGGATCCATGGGCCATGGGAGTTCGAAGCTGAGCGGGTCGGGGTGCATCGCCAGGCCATGGTCAATTTCGTGGTGGAGCCGGCGATGATTTGAGTTGGTTCTCAAGTGACCAGAGGCTTCAGCCGGGTGTGTGGTGTAGGACCTTTCTTCCTCGGCTCGGCTCGTTTTTGAGGGGTTGCGGCTTCAGAAGTGTTCCGGGCTTCGATGAGGTCGGGCTCCGGGGCGAGGCTTTGAGGTTTGGGGCTATCCCAAGGCCGTTGCAAAGGGTTGGGGGAGTCAGAAATTTAACCTTCGTGTCTCGATCAACAGGTCAGAGGGTCCTGTTGTGGCCGTCAGCAAGCCCGGTTCAACAAAAAGGCATTCCAGGGCTTTCGGCTGCAAGGTATTGGGGGTTCGCGATTGTTTCCGATTTCTGTAGGGTCTGCAGGGTTTGCGGGTTGACGGCTGCAGGTTGTGCCGCTTTCGGGTGTAATTAGGATTTGAAGGTTAGGAAGTGCCAACGTGATGGCATGGCGTGGGCTCCCGCTGCTCTTTCAGCGCTGGTGCTTAGTGAGACGAGTGAGATGCCGACATATGCCTAAGACCTAAGAGACTGTTGGACAGCTGGCCTTGCAATGGAAAGCTTCGCGATCCAGCCAGGTTTGCAAGCACCGGGGAGGCCAGTGCCCGGGTCGTCCCGGCAGCGAATCGCCGCTCGCGGTGTCGCTTGCCCGCCTTGCAGCGCACTCGCCGCAAGCAACTCACGGAGTCTGGGCCTGGTGGTGGGCTTTGCTGGTTTGCAGGGCCTGCGGCTCGTGGCCAAAAGGAGGGCATCTCGCCTGGCATGGCGACGGCGTGGGCACGGGCGTCTGGCTGGTTTCCAGCTGCAGGCTGCAGCTACGGAGTCCGAGGCAGACGTCGTGGTTATTGGGAGTGGGTTGGCTGGACTCACGTGCGCCGGTGTGTTAGCGGCTGCCGGCAAGTCTGTCACAGTCTTGGAGTCGCACTACGTCCCTGGTGGTGCCGTCCGTGCCTGAGGTGTCTGAGTCAGCAGGACACATCGATCGCAGCTCTTTTCTGCTGAGGCCCACACCTTCCGTGCGCGTGCCAAGGGAATCAAAGGCGACTTCTGCTTCGACTCGGGGCCCTCCCTCTACGGAGGCCTCAGCGGCGAGAGCGGGGCCCCCTGAAGAGAGAGAGAGAGAGAGAGACAGGATGAGGATTGCATTGTGCTCTTTGCTTGTGTGGAAGTAAGAGGAGGACCGAGAGCACCGCAGACTGCAGCGATCTTGCTGAGGAACTTCCTCGCCTTTGAAGCATGTCTACCAGCCGCTTGACTGCAAATGCAGCTCGAGGCGGCCGGGGGTCCCAGCTCTTTCTCTGAGGATTCTCGGCGAGGAGCCGGAGTGGATTACTTACGACAGGCCTCCGGTGCTCTTGACAGCAGAAGCACAGCCTTCGTTGAAAGCGCACCAGGTGGAATGCTTTCATCCCAGAGGGTGAGGCAAATGCAGCTATCGGCTACGAGGAGTTCGTGAGCAAGTTGCTACCTAGATTTGGAGGCCCAGATGCTCCTCAGCAGTGGGAGAGGCTCATGAATCTTGGACGTATATACATCCCCAGACGGTTTGCAAGGCAAGCGGCCGCGACGTTTAAAGATAACGACCAAGGAATCGGATTATTCCCATGGCGGATGCCATCTGCAATGGGCCTCCGCCCTCCTTTGTGAGGGAAGATCTCGGCGTTGCAGCCACTCTGGCGCGATATCTTACCAAGCTGCGCCCGGACCCGCACCAGTAATTACTTCGTTTCAGGTTTACACGCAAATGCTGGTTGAAAAAAGTCCGAGAACTGGTCAGGGGGTTCCTCAGCCTTCTTAGAGGTCCGGCATGGCTCTAAACCTCGACCCCAAAGACTTTGCGCCTCAGCCTAGCGCAGTCGGAGAAAGCCTTTGAAAGGCACCCATCCTTTTGTTCAGGAAGTCGATACCAGGGGGTCCGCAGAAGCTGTCGGAGCCCTTCAGCCAGTTCTTGGAGGATGCCAAGGTCTTCGTACGATGTTCAGGGCTGTAGAGGGCTTTTTTGAGGTGTTGGGGCGAAGGCTTCAGAAGCTGCCCGGGGTCCAACCGCCCTAGCCTTGATGCAAAAAGGGCTGAGGGGATGCACATATGACATAGGCAAAAGGGCCGATTATCGCCTCCCGAGGTGACAGATCCCTTCATCAAGAACTGGATGGACATGTTTGCCTTCCTGCTTCAGGGCTTGCCATCCTATGGAGCGCCTACCAGCATGATGGTTTCTCAGATGAAGGATGGTAAAGGGGAGGGGGGGAGGGCGATGCTGTGCAAGATCATGTCTGAATGGCTTTGGGCTCCCAAAGCCATCGAAGATCAAGGCTTACATGATGGGAGACATGTACAAGAAGAACACCTGCTTGGATTTCCCGAAGGGAGGCAACGAAGCCCTTGTTGGCGCTTTAGTTCGAGGTGTGGAGAAGCACGGAGGCGCGGAGTTCCTGAAGCTGCCACGGGCTCGCGACGAGAGATCGGTTCAGAGGAGCTACTGAGTCACTCTTGAGACTCTGAGACCCTCTAAGACGTGACAGCTGAAGCCTCTGCGCCAGGCCAGGTTCTCTTGAAAGCCCACGTGGAAGAAGTCCTGGTAGAGGATGGGAGGGCTGCCGGTGTCCGCTTGAAAGATGGCCGCGTCATCCGAGCACCGACCGTCGTCAGACGCGGCCTCAGCTTCGAACCAAGCTGCCCAGCCACATCCCCCCCCCGAAAAAAAAGTAATACATTACAACTACAATATATTTACTCCAACATAGATTAATGCATAACTTACTAGAATGTACTGTACTAGACTGTCACAGTCCTCAGAGGTGTTGTTTTGAAACCTTTGCTCCTTTGCAAGGCAATGCAGACTGGCAGGTCACCAAGTCCTTGATCAAGGACGGTTCGGCACCAGAGCTGGAAGACTATTTGAAGACCACCTGGAAGGAGTACAAGCTCTTGAACCTTTTCCTTGGGATGTTTAGGGCTTAAGGGTCCACCTGGAACATGTATCCCCTTTTGAACCTTGCCTGCGTGGTCATGCTGGGCTCCTTGCATCTCCGAGTGGCCTAAGGAAATCCTTCATCCACTTGCACCTCGGCTTTCGAGGCGATGGCCTTCCCTCAGGTCACTGCGAAGAGCTCCTTGGCACTCATTGGGCCGGCTGAAAGCCCGAAGGGAAGCAGCCGAACCGACTGGTGCTTCTAGCTATTACTGCTACGACTCACGACACCCATTACTGCAAGGTCCCTGGTTGATTCCCGCCGGGGGTCAGGGGGGGGGGGCAAGCAAAGGAATAGGACTACGGGAACGGTGGTCTGCGATTGGCTTTCAGACTCGTCGTGTGTTGAGGCTCAACATAGTCTGACACATCTATGCTTGCCTTCTGCAACAGCAGCAGCAACAAAAAGGAACTCCCAAGCGTAGCTGGTCAATGGCATCCACGAAGCAATACCTGGCCTTACGACTTCTATTCCAGAAGAAGGTCTGCAGACGTTCCTGGCTGCACTCCCATGTACGCTACCGCAACTCTTGATGCTCTAGCGGCCTCCTTCATCGACCACTGAACGCTGCTCATACGAGCACTTTGCTATTTCTAGACGTTGTCTGTCATGTCTTGGAAGGTTCCCAGCACAATGGGGAGTGTTCAACAGCTGGTCAGACTTGGAAGCACCCCGCAACGCCGTGCTGGTCAGCTGCCCTTCCATGCGGCTCAGTGATCAGAAGTTGGCTCTTGCATGTCCTTATGGCGCGTGCAAGACTCACCCAGTAGTTGAGATCTGTGAGCTAAGGTTGGATCCAGAGTTGGCTCCTCCAGGGCATCATGTGGTGCATGCCTACACTCCAGCGACGGAGCCTTGGGAAGACTGGGCCGACCTGGACGAGACGCTTCACAGCACAAAACGCGAGGGTTGACTTGCGTCATGTCTTGCAGAGATGGCATTATAGGGCATTCTGGGCCTAGGGGCAGCAGCGAATACAAGAAGAAGAAGCAGGAAGCTCGCGATTTCCTGTATTCTGCCGTAGCGAAGCAAGTACCTGACCTCGAGGACTGCCGTTTTGGCCTTGGTTTGCAAGGCCGCGCTAACACACACGGGTTTACAGCAGTGGCTACCTCATGTAGGGCCGCAGGGGCGGTGTCCTATAATAATGTTAGGGCGGCATAGGATCCTTCAAGCAAGGAGTCAGCTGCTGTATAGGCACCTCAAGGCAACGAATTTTTGAGTTTCAGAGGAACGGCCACATGTCTTTTCGCCAGGACCGTGTGGTCCTGGAGCTCGTGGGTACCCCACGCACCCATCGAAGATTCTTGCGAAAGCCGTCTGGTACGTACGGAGCATCGGGGCTTTAGCAGCCGACATCTCGAGATGAGCAGAGACTCGTCGGAGGTCTTTCGTCTGCCCTTCAATGAATCCGTCCGCAGGACTCCGAGTTCAAGCGCCGGAAATGCTGCCCGGCCACAAGACTCCGCTGGAAGGTCGGGGCACTGTCCCATGTCAAATCTATGCAGTGGGAGCCGTCTTGGGCGCAGGATTTCACATGTGTGGAGACAGCACGGCACCTGGCATTGGCGTGCCGGCGGTTGTTATGAGCGGGCACATCTGTGCCAATAACATCATGTCTGTGCCCGAACACTGGCAAATTCTCGTCGGCGGCTCAGAGCACGAAGTGTGGACAAGCTTTTCCAAACATCTGGATCCTGTAGCGAAATCCGAAGAGCTCAGGATAAGATCAAGGATTGGACCACGGAGCTGGAAATCTGATCTCCATTTTTCACGCCTCCTCCGCAGCCCACTTTTCTCGAAAATTCGAAGGTTGCCTGCGAAAAAGCGGTGCTCATCTCGCAGAGGAGCTTGTGAGATGGAGAGATCGCATCTCCGTGACGGATCGAAGCTGAACCAGACCGCCACGGAAAGGGGCAGTTTATAGGTCCAAACTTCGCAAGATAGGTGTACAGTGGCGAGTTGGATTGAAAGACAAGCCCTGAATGGCAGTAAATCAAAAAGCTCTACAAACCCAAAAGCCCGCGAAATTATTAATTAAGCATGGAAAGAAAGGGTTCTCCCCCTGCATAACCCCACGAATACCTCCCCTTCTCAGGAGTTTAAACTCTAAACCTTAAGCCCGAAACCCTCAACCCAACTCCAAATTGAATTGTGTGATTTCAGCCATGGCCCGAGCTGCTGCAGCTGCTGCCGTGGAGAAGATCGTGCACAAGGCTGCGATGGCCTTCAAAGCCCCGTCGCTAGAAGCCCCAGCAGCCCAGAAAAAACACTACAATTATGTAGGTGCAGGTTCGATTGTACGATACCTACTGCCTATAGAATGACAGAGTTTTTGATCAAGGGTATTTTTCTGTACCAACCATGTAGATACCCACCGGGTTTTGAGGGCAGAAGGTCCAGGGGGCGCATGTGCGGGCATATTTAGGCTAGTGTTCACGGTAGGATGTCGTGCCGACGTGATTAGCTGGGGGTGGGTCAGGTCAAGTTGGGCTATTGGGTTGTCGGGTTGGGTTGGGTTTGGTTGGGTTACCTTGTGTTAGCTTCGCTCGGGGTTACGTTGCGGTGGGTTATTGGGCCATTGGGAGCTAGAGCCCTCAACTCTCAACCTTCTGGTAGGTCAGATTAGGTTAGGTCAGGGTTTAGGGTGCAGGGTTTGATGAAAAAACAGTTTAGGTACCTCTCTATGTGGGCATGTTTAGATCAGGGTTCACGGTAGGAGGTCGAGCCGATGTTTGGGATTGAAGTGGGGCTTGGGATTCCGTTGAGATCTGGGTAAAGCTGTCTTTGTGGTGATGTTCTGCACCGGAGGTCTCGGACGATACTCTGGTTTGCGGGCAGGCTGTAGTTCAGAGGTAGTGGTTCTGACTGCCTGGCTGCTTGCTCATCCAGGCCAGCTGCAAGCAATAATTTGTATTTCTGAGCTCAATACTAATGCGTGATTGGTTGAACCCCTGAGTTGATCTACGGGCATTATGCTGAGACCCTTGCAGCGGTGAAGGATTATTGTTTTGCGCTCCTTCACGGCTGAAGCCTGCGAAGTTGTTTGAACTTGTTCTTTACGGATGTGGAAGTGAGACTGCAGGCGAGTTTACAAGTGGCCTGTCTTTACCACTTTACGCTGCCTTTGCAGGAGGCATCGAAAAACGTGAAAACCTGCACCGCTGTAAACTCTATACGCCCTGGGCCCTAAACTCTAGAAGTCTCAGAAGCCCAGACCTTAGAAGCCCCAACCCTACAAGACCAACCGTAAACCTAGAAGTTCGACACAGCCCTAAACCCTATCAGACCTATCGAAAACCCCCAGAATGCAATAAATCCAAGACCCTACAAACCCTGAGCCCGTCCGCGGACCTTCTTGCCATGCCTGCCTTGCGCGAGTGTGTGCGTCGGAAACCCTTTGTCCCGAAAAAGGCGAGCGAGGAGTCCCGCCGTCTCGATGAGACCCAAGTCTTCGTCTTCAAGATCCAGGTGCTCTGGCTTCATGGATGTCAGTGTTTAGGAGTTCAGTGTTTCGGGGTTTCGGTTTCATGGATTTGGGATTCAGAGGATTGGGACGTGATACGACGAGAAGGCAACGCAAAGCTGAAGCGAGTCTTCCGATGTGCGTCTCACTACTTATCGCAGTGTCGCTTCTGCGCAAAGGCAGTGTAGGGCAGGCAGGAAACCCTCGAAAGAGCCAGGCCAAATCAACAGAAGGGACAAGAATTGTATGCAAGCTGCGAAGACGGCAGGTCGATTCGGTAACCTTTGACGGAGCCCAGCTGGCCAAGACAAGAGGTTTGCGTTTCGTGACTTGACAAAAGGAAGTTCCCTACTCCCACAGCTCTGATGACCTCTGACTGAACATTTGGCATGTTAGAGTTTTCCATGACATTCTGGGGCTCTCGACCAGCAGCACCTGCTTGGGCAAAGAGGCCGGTGTCTCTGTTCACCTTTTTTTAATTTCTTCTTCGGACCGACCGAGGCCTTGGCTTTGCAGAAGCACAGCGGGAAGTCTCACGAAGATCGGATTCTGCTGACCCCATCCATCAAGCCCATTGTAGAAGAGCTCGAGTCGGGCGAGGGTCGCCGCCAGTGCTTCTTCAGCATCCGCTACGAGGTGGACGTGCTGTGGGAAGGCCCAAAACCCGGCGCTGCAAGATTGAGCACTCGAAACTTTACGATCATCTCAATCCTTTCTCTCATGATCGCTATGTCAGACTCTCTGTTGGAGGCAGGTCCCCAAGGGCAATTCCCCGTGGAACCACAGGTGACGAGACCTTGGTGCTGAGTGCTGTGGAGCCAGGGAGGCTCTTCTTCTCGACGCAGGCGGGAAACGGGACCTAGCATCGCACCGTATATACATTATGCATTTTACACACACACACATATATATATATATACACATACTCATATTTATATATGTGTACTTCTTTAATTAGACATGCACACATTACACACACACACACACATATATATATATATATATACATACATATATATATATATACACACACACACACATATATATATATATATGTATGTGTGTGCGTGTGATTCTTAGTTGTACATGCACACAGACACACAGACACACACACACACATGTGTGTGTGTGTGCATATATATATATATACATACATGTATACTTGCATGTATGTGTGTGTGTGTGTGTATGTATGCATGTACGTAAGATGCTGTTTGTAGGTCATGCCTATCTGGAGGTTGCCAGTTGCGACCTGCCCCTGGCTGTCTGCTACGAGCAGCTCGTGAGCAGCGCGAAGAATTGCAATCCGACTGAGGCTGTTTGGACACCGGAAAAGCTTTGCAATCACGGCTTTCAGGGCTTTCCTGCAAAGCGCCTGCAGACAGGCGGAGCCCTTGCCCATCGAGCTCGAGCTCGAGAGTTCCAAGGGTTTCAGCGGAAGGCACCTGGGGGGGAGTGGTACTTGGAATTCAGGCTTTTTCGGATGCAGGTTTGTCTGGGTATTACAGGCGCATGTAGGATTATTAGCTCAGAGCATCTTAGAGCGCAGGGTGGGTGGGAATTGTGCCACTGTGCCTTAGGGCGAAGCGAGCATTTGCCTGCAAGTCAGGTGCAGGATCTTCGTCCACTGCTGGAAAGAGAGCTTGAAAGCACTTGGGGGAAGAAAGGCTTTGAGGTCTACCTTCCCGGAATCCCTTCCTGGAGGCCGCGTCGGGGTTCGAACATCCCATGTCTGCATGGGTGCGTATTCATGAGTGAGTCCATCGCTACACAGCCCCATGGCAGTGAAGTCTCATTCCAGATGTGCATGCATGCTTAAGTCTGCAAGTGTTACAGGTCAGAGTCACCTAGCGATTGTACAGGCGTGCATGCTGCATGCATGCATGCATACTCATACATGTCGGGGCTCTCTGTGCTTCAGACTAGTTTGGTTCATGTTCACACTTGAGCGATCCACACAGGCAGCCACAAGGGTGGGGAGGGGGGCCGGGAAAGGGGTTGGGAGCGACCTGTCAGGCAAAGAAATTCATTCCGAGGCGATTAGGCATAAGATGACGGAGATCCACGAGTGCCACAGCCTGAATGAGAAGCTCCAGAAGGCGGGGAAATCAGACATAGATCCGAGGGGGCCAGGGCCAGTTTGTCAGTGCTTTGTCGACGCTATCTCCATCTTACCTGCAAGCATAGTTACCTACCTACATGCTTACATTCATGCTTGCTTACTTAAATACATACATACATACAAGTTTCTAGAACTATGAATGCTTTTGTCCTACTCGGCGCTTGCTAATTCGACATGTCCTCCTCCCCCTCCTCGACTCAACCTCCTCCTACTCCTCCTCCTTCTCGGAAGTGTCAACGTTGCGCCAGGCGCAAGCAGATCTTTGGTTGCAGGGCGTCAAGCGGCTGACGGATGAAGGCTGAGAAATCATCTAACCCAGTGAATGGCAAGGCTTATAAGGATGAAGACACATGATTGCGGAAGCTGGAGTTGTTCATTATTCACTTGTGTTGCTTCGCGACCTCAAGCCCCTTCCTCATCGTTGTTTCATTTCCCACATGCTCTGTTGCCATCTTAGTGGCAGAGTCTGTAGCCTTTAGCCGTTTTTGGGGTAGGATCTTCCCTGTATAATCCCAAAAAGGCTTACCTCTCAGTTCCCCTCTTCAGGGCCACATGCCTTGTAACGGTAGAAGGCAGCTGTGGAGGCCTTGGCCTGAGCGTGAGAAGTTATGGGCATACGTTAAGAACCCCAAACCTACTTTTTTGTAGGGTCCCTCTAAATCCCATGTTAGGGTTTATAATAAGAACCTACAAAGAAGTGGGTTTTGGGTTCTTAAGGTAATACAGTATAGAATGCTTTGAACGTGCCCTGGACAGCCAAACGCTGAACTTGGCAAAGACGGTGGGCCTGGTCTCCCCAGAGCGGGCCGAGATTCTCAGGCCTGCAGCGCATTGCTGAGTCTTTGTGGGCAATTATAGCTGGGGTTTAGGGTTTAGGGTTCAGGGTTGAGGAAGTTTAGGGTTTGGATGGGTTTGGGAGTGGCTTATAGGGCTTAGGGAGCGCAGATCTTGTCCCAATCCGAAGGCAGACAAAGAACGAGCCAAGGCTGTCAGCAAGGCCGGGCAGAGCACGTCAGGCAAGCTAGTATGTTATAGTTCTTGACATGCAATTGTGTTATTGTGTTCTGTAGGAGATCATAGTCACGCAGAGTCGGAAGTAGACTCGGCTCTGGCGGAGGAGCGGTTCTTTCGAAGCCGTGGAGCGTGCTGGCGGGGCGACCTGGTTGCGATTCACCACCGCATGAGCACGAGACTTAGAACCCAGCCGCCAACTCGCCCAACGTTGCGAGACGTCTGCGGGTTCCTCTTTTGTGTCACCCACTTGCTTCTTCCGGCCTTGGCCTGGGCTGCTGAGCGGAAGGACCGCCACTGGCGCGGCTCCTTCTGGAACAGCCCTTCTACGGGTCATGCTGAGCGGAAAGCCGTCGTCTCCTTCAGACTTCACTCGCAAGAAACGGAGAGCTTGGGGTGTTGAAGGTGTTGCCTGCCCACCGGTTTGCACGCACTCGGCTCGGCTCCCTCTCTCCGCGGCTGTTCTTGGCCTAGCAAAGGGCGCCGCCACCGCAGCCGGGTGCGCAGCCTCCGCCATGTCGGCCCCCGGGCTTCCCAACATGCGGCGATCAGCCCATCTTCTGCGGAATTGCTTCGCCCTGAGCTCTAAGGGCCTAGGGGACTAAGTCGGTCTAAGCCTTTTTTGGATTCTTTCAGGTGCCTTGGCGCTCTTCGCCGGCCTGGCCCTGAACGTCGCCACGAGCATCGGCTTCGCCTCCTTTGGCTCCTCTCTTTTTACCGGCTCGAGGAGCCAGACGCTTGCTGGCCCTGTGCATGTTTTGAGTGCTTTAAGGGGCCTTTTTTCAGCAGTGATCACCTGCAAGTCCCAGCATCAATCATGAATTCGAGTCCTTTCTCCGGGTGAGCGGGGATTTCTTGTTTGGGGCTCGGCCCGGCCCAAGGACACGGCTCGCCAGCTCGCCGGGACGGCGCTTGGACTTGAGAACCTCGCAGCGGGTAGCTCCAGATGGAATGGATGGGCTTGCGGTTCAAGGCCCGGGAAGTTCCAGCAGACCTAAAAACTTGTGGTTGGCAGTTCTTTTCTCGCTTTGAGGTCTGTTGGATTCTTCTCTGTTGACCTCCTTTGCGGACCAAGCTGGCAACATCAACGGGATCTTATTCCAGGGCTCACTGCCCGCATACCTGCTCTTCCTGTACTTTTTGAGTTACAAAGGGAACAACACTCCGCCCTTGACCTTTTTCGGTTTCGCCTTCTTGCTGGTCTTCGTGCTCCTGACGATTCCAGCGGGCATCATCTCCAAGAGCACCTACGGCCTGATCTTGGCGGATTCAGACTGGGTGCATGGTAGTGCGGAGTCTCTCCTGACCTGTACCAACATCATGATCGTTTTGGGCTTCCGTGGGGCCCTGACGGGAAATGCTGACCTTGCAGACAACGGCACAGTGCGAAACATCGCTTTTGGATGGCTGGCGGCCGTGATTCTGACGCTGGCTGCCGGCATCCCAGTCTTTGGCTTTGAGGCTCACACGCCTTTCTTGTCCGGTGTTGGTGCTTTGGACATCGGCTCTGCCGAGCCTGTGAATGCTTTGTCTATTCCAAATTGGATCGTGCATTGGTCGACCGTCTTCGAGTTCCTTCTGGCCATGTCCTTGGCCTGGCGCTATGCCGATGCTGTGGGGAACCCGAAGTGGAAGGGTTTGACCTGGGGGATGCTCCCCTCCTCGATCTCGAGCGTCTGCGCGCTGACGTTCCATATCTTTTACAACCAGATCCCTTGGATCCTGACGGGGCAAGCTCTCTTCACCTTCATCGGCAATGCCACCTTGGCCCTGGCGACCTATCGCATCGCCGTCTCCAACGGCTGGACCTTGGGCGAGCTGGATCCCCGGCGCCTCTTCGAGGAGAAAACGGAAGAGAGCTCCGGCTCTTCCTCCTCGGGCTTTGAGATCGCCAAGGTGTCGAAGAGTCCAGAAGGCGAGCTGACCTCCGGGCCGCTCTTGTTGGCCGAAGTGATCCTCCTGACCCTCCTCTTTGCTTATGGCACCAAGTACGGAGAGCTCATGCTTTCGCCCAGCACCTTCCAGTCACCGGAATCGAGTCCCCAAGCAGCGGCCCTCATTGCGCTCCCCGTCCTCCTCGTGGCTTACATCATCTACGGTCAAAGCCCCGACCTCCAAAGCGGCCAGCTCCCGCCCCTCGCCCTCTCCTCGTCTTCAGCCCCTCGGCCCTAAAAGAGGAAAAGCAGTGTTTCCTGGCACTTGGAGTTGGAGAAGAATTTTTGCTCCCTGCTCTTTTTCTTTTCATGTTGATGCCTGAGGCCAAGGAGAAATAGCCGAGCAGCGCAGCTCCCGAGCAAAAGAAGCCGTCCTCCGCTGCCGCTGCCGCTCTGTGCAGTTCCCCGCGTTTGCTTCGCTGGCTCATCCTGCCTTCCTTTGCATCGAAAGCACCTGCAAACACCCACGATGCGCTGACGCCAGGACATCCTGGCATGCCATCGCAGAGGAGCGGAAAGGAGTGAGAGGAGTGGAGGCTTAAGTGCTTGAGCTCCTTTGCATACGGAAAAAAAGCGCAGTCCGCGGCTTGGACCTAAGGCCCTAAGTTGCTGAGGCTTCGAATCGCAGGGTCTGGCAAACACTTCCTGGTGCTCGGGGGTGTCCAGAGCCAAGAGAGGAATTCCTTTTTTCTGGGAGGCCAGCCTTCTTTCTTTCCTCTGCAGGCCGGAGTACCGGGATGTGTTGCCAATGCATGCTGCGTCCGCTGTGGCCGGAGCCCTTCTGGCCCTTCTGCTTCTTTTTTGCTCTCTCTCTCTCTCTCTCTCTCTGTATTCAGATCAAAGCAGGTCAGCCTCAAGGCGGCTTCTTTCAGTTCGCAGGAGCTCTGCAACGCCCGGCCCTCGGACACACAGAAGCTTCTTGGCGGCCACAGATCGGCTGCCAGGCGATCTAGGCCTTCGCCACGTCGAAAGCCGTGGAGGAGCGGCCGTCGCAAGCCGCGCGGCTCCCGACGAATTCTGGCTCCGGCACTTCCCCAAGCGCCTCCCCGCAAAGAGCGCTTCCCCCGTTTAGGTCGAAGATGCCGCCTACCCCCGCCTGCCACGCCCAAAGCATTGTCCCTGCACCTCTCGCTTTCACGGCTTTCCCTCAGCTTCCCGGGTGAGGCCCCGGCTTCTACCCGTGGACTTGGCCAATGCAGCTTGAGCACCCGCGACGGCTTCGACCTCGAGGGAGGAGCAACACTTCTGCGCGACAAGCTTCAGCAGCTTACTTGATGTGCCTGTAGGAGTTCAGGCTCTGTGAAATGGCTATTGCATAGGATCCCTATTCTGCAAACCGAGGTCCGGCAAAAAAGGTGTGTTCGAAGCTTCGTTACAGCTATGATGCATATAGTAATTCAAACGGCAGAAAAGACCCGGTTAAAGTTCTCTGAAGGCCCGTAGCCGTAGAGATCCTTTCTCCTTTTGGCTCAGGCCGAGCATGGGAGCCAAGCGTCGGCAGGGAGCCCCAAAGACTCTTCTGCCACGCCGCGCGGCGAGAGTCAGAGCTTTTCGCCCGCTGGCTTCGACTTGGGCGAGTTCCCGCTCTCCAGGCCGCTGCGGCCAAGGAAGTTGCTGAGCAGAGGCGACAAGAAGAAACGAGTCGTGAGATTCGACGGAAGCCCCAAAAAGAGAAGCGCGCGGGAGTGCCTTCTTGGCAGGTTTGGAGCCTGGTGTGCTCGGTGGGGAGCTGAGGATCCTTGTTGCGCAAGAACCAACAGGCCCCTTCTCTCGAAAGCTCTGAGGCTGGAGGACGATGCCACGGTGCACCCTCTGTCGCCACGCGAAAGGCTCAGAAGGACGGGCGCGCGTCGCTTTCAGGTCAATGTCCTCTCCGTTGTGGAGGCACTGGGAAGGCTGGATCTCAAGGCCTCGCTGGGCCTCGCTAGCATCGAGACGAGGAAAGAGGAAAGGAACTACTGCTACCCGACAGGAGTCTCTTGTGTCTGCTGCGTCGGCGGCACTCTGCGAGCGAGCTCAACGGCTGGACGAAAACTACCAGGACCGGATTTCCAAATGAAAGGCTGTCAAACACGACGGCCTCGTACATATGGTGGCAAGCATATGTACGCATGTTGAGTTGCATGGCACATGCGCACGCACATCTTTTGCCCGATTCGCGAGTTGAGAGGATGGTTGCAGCCGGCAGTCTCTGAATGCAGATCTCAGCTAAACTGGCACAAGGAGCAGCCTTTGCCGGAGAACCTTCGTGTGACGACGGCAGAGCCGCGGTCTCTGTAACCTGGGCTGTAGCAGTGTAGCAGGGGATTGGAGACGGATACATCCCTGCAGACCAGCGGTGCTGGGATACTCCTACGCTGCGCTTGTTCCAGGTTCTTCTGTATGCCTGTGTGTGAAGGCACCAAGCGCTGTACTCGTGAGACTCGAAGCCCTGAACCCCGAACCTGTCCCGAACCCCATACGGTGCACTTAAGGGCAGAGAGTTGCAGTTGCAGCCGAGGCTGGCCAAGGAGGCTGTGAAGGAGCTGAAGCCCCAGACGAGCCATAGGCCGCCAGCAGGTGGGGTGCTGCTATCAGCCTTGGCCCCGAGGCCCAAAGTCTTGGCCACCCTTCCGGGCCTTTGCGCCGCCGTCTCTGAGCGCCAAAGGAGCGAAGTTCGAAAAAGAAGAAGCGAAGAGAGAGCTTCTTTTCCGAGGTCCTCTGGAAGCCCCCGGGCTGGTCGGCCGCACTCGGAGATGTGTGCCTGCCCCAATGCCCCTGCTTGGCGCAGTGTTTGGGCGTGGGCGTGGGCCATGTGGGCCATGGGCCAGGTCGGACTCCGACAAAGCTTTTGCTCTGAGACATTGGCTGCAGCGCCACTTCGGCCAGTCTGGGCACCTAGGACCTAGGCACCCAGGTGCTCGGAGAGCGCGGAAGTGGAGATGAGTAGGGGAAGATGCGACGGAAACAGTCTGCTGCAGAGGTCCTCGCCAATCGTTTACGACGAAGGCTCGAGCACGCCGTCGATCGCACCATTTCCAAAGTCGTGTCACAGCTGCCCACTGGACCGCAGCAGCCTGCAGGCGAGACATATGGAATGGTGCATCGGCTGGATCGCAGCTTTGACTGCGGAGAATTGGTGGGCTGATATCTGAAGCACCGATGCATGTTGTGACCGTCTCAGGTTTCACGTCCGGCCCATTGCTCTGGGCTTCATGCGCCTTGGACGAAGCACGTGCGCGTCGCGTTGCAAAGCGAAGTTAAAACGGCCTTTTCGCCCCCTTTACTGAGGCTACCGTGGCCTCTTTGAAGCGAGGCTTCAGCCAGGGCCCGAAGGAGGAGCGAGAGCAAAGCAACTGACACCTGCTGCTGAGAGCTACTGCTGCTACTGTGCTCCATCAAAGAACGCGCTTCGGGTCTGCTGCCGGCCGGTGCGTCCTGCTTTGCTCGCTGAGGTTTGCAGCTCGCCAGGCAAAGAACAGAGCGCTTTTTGGGTGCTTGGGGCCGATTTTTCTGACTTTCAACTTAGGATTTCTGGCCATGACAGCCTCCTTGGGCAGGTCCGCAAGGAGTACCTTTGCATCGGCCAAGGCCCCAAGCTCCAAGGACCCTTCCTTTTTGACGGATCCCCTTGTGAGCCGGAAGAAATGGCAGGCTGGCTTCAGCTGAGCTCCGGGCCTCTTCACTTGAAGGCCGGGCCTCCCCACGCAAGGATGAAAGGGCTGGATCCACAGATGTCCAAACCACGCCAGGCTCCCTTGAAAGAGGAGATGGCGATTGACGGGGAGCGAGGACCTCAGCTTCCCTTCTGAAGATGGGCGTTTACTCTGGGCCCGCTGTGTGTGCCTTTTGCTGGGTGCGGTTTCCGTTCGAGGCTACAGCTGGCCAGAAGCCGGGTCGACCCCTTCTCCGGGAAGTTGGCCCACACAGAGGCCAAGTGCTGGCATAGTGCGGGAGAGTCACCATGCCCAGTGGCCCAACAAAGCCTCAGCCACGGAGGTTTCGGAGGCAGTCCTTCTCAGTGGTCCGGACGGGGCATCTTACACGCTCATGAAGGCCAGAAGTCTTCCACTGAAAGAAGCGCCCACGTTTCTGTCGCCTCACACGATGCAGGTGCGCCTTCACACAGGACCCAGCACCCGAAGAAGCAAGATCAGCCTAAACTCACCAGTGTACTTCCTTTGGCTGGTGAACCAAGCCTATGAGAATGGGATTCTGTTTATTCTGTAAGCACCAAATAGGGTCGACCAAGAAGTTATATGCGGAGGGTATGGGAAGTCCTCAAAGTTTAGGATTGCAGCTGCACGTCGGAAACCCGAGAGCTGTGAGGAAGAACGCATCAAATACGCTGCCACCTGAGCCACGAGGCCGGAACACCAAAGAAGATAGCCCGCGAAGACCAGCTACCTAAAGCATTTTACTGTATACCAGACAATATACTATAGTATATTTCGCATGCTACATGTACAGTATGTAATGCTATACTATGCTGCATCGTGGGCGACTGTCTTACAAGCCTTACAACTTACATGGCATTTTCGCTACAGTGGCCTTTCATAAGGTTGGCTGGGCTTCCGACACAAGCCATCTGAACACTCTAAGCCTATAGTCCTTTGCAACCCTGCGAACAAGTAAGCCCTAAGCTTGTTGACAACACCGGGCGGCTGAATAAATGATTGAGTGTCCATGCAAAAAACGCAAAAAGCGCTTGCTTGCGATGCTAGTCTGACACATGCGTTGAGGCCTCGTCTGGCACAGTCCGAGTTGCGAGAACCTAAGCCCAAAAAGTGGATGAGTTCTACACCTTGAAATACATCGAGTGCTGGCCTCGTTGCTTGTTTGCCCTCGTTGTGGAGGACTGAACCCGCACTTGTCGTGATAGCGTTTACCGAGAGACCTCGTCTGCATAGCGTACGCGTGAACCCCAAAAGCCTGAATCCGTGCCTGCCTTGTGCGAAAGTGCGAGTCGAAACCCTACGAAGCGAAGGAGGCCGACTGCCACACGAGAGCCACCAGAAAGCCACGAAAATATCCTACATACATAGCCCAGGCAAGAGAGCTTCTGTTTGTTGGTTTGTCTTTCTCTGTTCTACCACAGGGGCACCCCCTCCTGGGTGATCCAGTCTACGGCGGTCCAACCCCCGGCTGGTCTTCGAGGCTGGCACCGGGCTCTTCTGAACAGAGGGGTGTGCGGGTGTGGGGCTGGTGTTGGGGTTTCTTGTGTTTCTAGTGTCTTTGGTATCCTTCGGGCGGCTTTGGGATTGAGGGGAGGTTTGCTGGGTGTCCAAAATGAGGGCACTTGGAGCTCACAGGCACTAAAGCTGCGCCCCCGCTTCGTTTTACATTGTTGCCCCTGCCTGATCCTAAACCCAACCCTCGCCTGCATTGCCGAGTGCACGCCGGGATTCCTGGAACCCCTCGTGGGAACCCGTCGAAGCCCTAAGCCGAAATCTGAAGAGGCACTGGCTTCATGCTCGGCTCTGAGCTGATCCTTCGAGAGCCTGGGCCCCTTTTTCTGCAGAAAACCACGAGGCCTGGAGGCTGCAGCTTCGAATCAGCTCCGGAATGGTCGACCTCGAGGCTCCACAAGACACAGGGAACTTCAGGTAGCAGATGAGCTAGACTCTAAACTCTCCTATGATCCCCGTTTGGATATTCCTGAGAGTAGTCCCCTTGTGAGTCCCCGATCTACCCCCCCGCTTTTAAGGAGGCCATTATCCTTATCGGAGTAATCCCACATCATCCCTTACATGACCTCCTTCATACGGAGTTTAGACCAAAGCTCGAAGGGCGCCCCCAGGCATGTCATCTGTCTCCTTTCCGCTCTTCCACTCCCGGAGACCGCTCGCATCTTCCGGGTTCTTCTTAAGTCATAGAAGTTACCATAACCGGGTCTAATGTAAATAACAGGGTTCCATTACTAAGCCTTACTATGGTACAAAACAAAAAAAACAAAATCCTTGACAAGAGCTCAGTCTTCGCCAGGTGCCGGTGCCTGTGGATCTCCAGGAGACCCTCGCAAGGCCCCTCGAAGGGCACACGCACGCACGGAGACATAAAGAAATCGATCAAGAGTGATATAGAATGATCTAGATATAGCTGTTTGCATACATATATATATACACACACACACATAGATATATGTATGTATATATGTATATATAGATTATAGGGTGTCGCTACCTAGGATTTCAGGGGATACTCAGTGGGTGGCACGAGCGCTCGGAGCGACTCGCATGAGTTTTAGGGGTTTCGAGGGTTCGCCTCTGCTAGGGCAAAGGGTGTAGGCAAGGCGATTGCACAAGCCCTGGTACAAGGAAGGGTGTAGGCATTTAGAGTTTAAGGTTAAGGCTTCGAGGTTGGGAGCCTTTCTGGCGGTTTATCGGTTAGGTCAGGGATTCTCTACCTTGTGCTTCATGTCTACGGGGCTCCTCTGAAGCTCTCCGAGAGTACACAGCAAAAGAAAGGGCCCCTTTTCTTTCGATCTGCGAGTTGCGAGTTGGAAGGCTAGCGCCTGCCAACTCGCAGGAAGCCTACAAGCCCGGGCCTCAGCCTTGAGGCAACTCGAAGCTGCCCCTGGTTCTGAGAATTCGGGCTCTCGTTTTGGGGCCCTTGGGAGTGAAGGTCAGAGTGAAGGCAGTGAAGGTGAATTTGGCTGACTGGCCTTCCTTCTTTCCTGAAGCTCCACCTCCCTCGTCTCTCTCAGCATCCTTCACCCTGTGAGGGTGGCCTCGTCCTCACCTCCCAAATGCAGCAGAACGACCATGGCCATCAGACTATCAAAGAACTTTAGTGCTAAGTGAGCGACCTTGCAACTTCATAAAAAAACCTGTTTATCCAATTTTAGCTATCTTCATCACCTGTGCAGTCTCCGCGAGAGGAGAGCACCTAGTTGCGATGACTGGCTGTCACCGGAGGCTTAAGCTCCTCATTGGCGACACGGAGACGTCCGCAAAATGCCGCCGCGCACATGTGCTTCATCATGGTCGAAAGCTGTCTTCACTTCGCTTTCTGCCAAATTGATGTCGGCATCACCGGCTCCACAGTTTCAGTTCTTCAAGTCCAGCAAAACATGGCAGATGTTATAAGCCAAACTGTAGGAATCCTCGTCGTTGATGGAGTAGTGCTCTGGCCCCCTAAAATTGGCGTAAGCTTCGAAAAGTTTCTCGTAGTCGTAGCCGCCCCCACCGTGGCCGCCATCATACCCGGAGGCCGGAGCTCCGGGTCGGAGCTGTGGAAGAAACTTCCCAAAAGGAAAAGTTGGCAGAAACAGTACATAGTGTTTCTAAAAAATATTGAGTATGACGGACTATTCCATTACGTGATATATGGCTTCTTTATATTGTGAGCAGAGCAGATGTGACAGGGATGGAGCAGTTGTGGGACTCTTGCGGCGCGAGAGACATGGCCGGAGTTCAGCGCATTTTTCTCCTTTGCTTTAGTTCCTGTTGAGGCTGGAGGGAGGGTTTGTGCCTGAGATGCTGAAAACGCGCAAATGCAGGTGAGGGTGTGAGCTGCAGAAGTCCCTGATTGTCGGATTCACTGGACTGGCCCTGCAGCTTCTAAGAGCCAGGCTTCAGTGACAGAAGCACCGAATGCCTCGCCAGGTGCATCTCCAGTTCCTGTGCTTCTAGGCATTTCTTGGCTAGGCGTCTCTTTCCCGTACACTCCGCCTGCTCAGAAGACGGGCCTTTGAACGAGGGCTCCTTTCAGGGAATCGAGACCCTGCGGCTTCCCCGGGTTTTTTTGGGGAGATCCAACTGCTTGAGACCACTCTGAGCATGCGGCGCAGCTTGCTCTCGCAGAACTCCTGGGTGTAAGCTCTCGTCGGATGGAGCTTGCAACTCTGCTTTGAAGGTTGGTTTAATGCAGGCTTGACTTACAAGCACTACTCCACATCCTGCATTAAAAAAGTCTTTCCCGAAGTAAGTACAGATTCGCGGTCGCGACAAAAACAAACTGTAAGGCAATTTGCTGTTTTTTGATTTCGGGCTCATCGGACGCTGCAGCCCCAAACCGTTGTCGTGCCAGAAAGAAGCTACTGGACTGGTGTAGGCAGAGGCTGCTCTGAGCTTAGAGCTGGCGGGCGCCACTTTCTTCCGCATGCCTTTTCCGTCGTAAGCTTCGGCCTCAGCCGAAGGGGTTCAAACCAAAGGTGGGATTAGCCGAGTAGCGCATCAGACCAGGCTAAGTCAAGACGTTGCGCAGGCATGGCATTTCCCAAGCCTTCCAAGAGTCCCGACGGCGCTTCGCCGCTTCGCTTCTGCTGCGTCCGCTTCTTGCGCGCTCAGCTGCGAGCGGAGCTGAGGCTCCGGCTGAGGCTCCGATCCCGTCGGCGAGGCCCGCTGGAAGCGCTTTCCGAGCCGCCAGAGAGCCTGAGACGGAGCCCTGGCCGCCCCGGCGCCGGCCGCCGAAGGCTGAGAGACCCCGCCCCTCAACCCTGCGCTTCTATGCTTTTATAAACGAGTGACAGCATCCAAAGCAAAGCCTTTTCAAGGCAGAGGGAGAGATCAGTTTACATTTGCCTCCCTGTGCGCCGTCGCAAAGTTCCGGGAGGGTTCCTGAAGCCTGCGAGCCCCCGTAGCTCCCAAATGTCCTTGCTTAGCTTGTTCGAGGACCTCAGAATAAAAAGACATGTCTCTTATAGACTGTGCCTACTAAGATAGATTGCGCCTACTAAGAAAGCTATGGTTCACAAAACTTGACAAAAAGGCATCCAAGCATCTAGCAGCCGGCCACAGGCAGCTGGCACACAGCACACTGCAAGGGTCTCTTCGCTGTAGTATAGCGAGGGGTTCCTCAGCCTACCGTTTCTGAAAATGCTCTCAAGACCCTTTCGTCGTGGGTGGCTCCGAGTGGCTAAGACTAGGACAAGGAGATGACAGGACTTACGAAGCAGACGACGAGACGGGCTAGATCAGCTTGCACAGCCACCTTAAGGGAAACTTTTAGCTGCCGGCAGGAAGCCGTCACCATGTAGCGCTGGTAGGATGCACCCCGCTCCCCCTGCTGGTCTTCAAAGTGCGGGCGCAGCAGGTCATCCTGTGAGAGCCAAGCTTCCAGAAGCGCAGGTCATGCCGTGAAGGTGTTTTTGAAGGCACAGCTGAAAGGCGGAAAGGCGGGATGCTTTCTGTGAAAGACTTTGAAAGATCAGACCTGGACGTCGAGCTCAGCTCCGGGATTCTAGAGCGACTCAGCTGAGACTACGAGCAGCTGCGATCCGATGCAGCTCTGATCGCAGCTTTTCAACGATGCTGCGTAGTGATGCAGTGCAGATGGTGGCTTTACTCATGCTTGTTGCTCTGTCCCTGCAATCAGAAGGGCCTGCAGAGGCTTGAAGGGCGTGACGGCCTCGGCGCCGCCATGGCTGGCTGGGGGTGTCACTCTGAAGTGAGGGCGACACGGTCCCAGGCGCAGGGGGGCTTGTCAGCTCTTGGGGCTTTCAGGGCTCCTTTGCACTGGTCCTTCCAGCGCCTCTTGGAGCCCGCGGCCGCGGGCCCCAACGCGGAAACTGGAAACCGCTGCCTTGCGCCTTGCCTTCCACTCAGCATTCTCACCAGTACCAGCATCACCAGTCACCAGGGGATCGCAGCGAGTCGAGCCTTTGCCCTCGGTTCCGGGAGCACCCAGACGACACGTCTGACACGGGAGTCGGAGGACGCAAACGCGAAGGTTGCCATCACCTGGGCGTGCTTTCTTGTGCATGGCGTGCATTCCAAGAACTCAAGAAGCTCTGCCCTCACCAGGCGCAACACTCACGGATTTCATGCTGCAGAGTGGCCGGAACAGGCGGACACTCCGTGAGCTGCAGCCGAGAGACCTGAGCCACCTCTTGAACTCGCAGCAGGAATCCGGTCAGCTGCGCCTACTTCGCCTCTCGAGCCGGAAGCACTGCTAGCTTCTAAGACTCTAGGCCCACTAGGCGGCTACTCTAGGCAAGCTATAGCTAGGCAGCTAGGCCTCTCTCGCTTTGAACTCAGAACTTGGAAATTCCAGCTTCCGGGTTGCTGCCTGCACCCATGCGATCCTTCCGCTGAAAGCTTATAACGTGAAGGCCCTCGAAGGGCATCAGAACCCTCTGCCGTAGTGCAGATAGCACGAGAGAGAGCGACCCGCGACGGGCGCGGTCTAAAGCCAAGGCTAAGGCCTAGGAGCGGCGCCTTTGCTTTGCCGTAAGCGGCTGTGAAGCTGCGGGGCCCGGTGCCCTAGCCGCGGCAACTGCTCAAGACTCGACCCTCTCCTCTCTGCTTCCGCCTGTGCTTTTTCTCCTAGCTCGCGCACACAAAAAGCGGCCTGGGCGCTTGTGCCTGTGCCGAGGGGCGACTCTCCTTGCCCAGCGCAGTCTCCCAGCCGCCGCTGTTTCACCACTCGCAGTCGCAGGACGCCGACACCAGAGCTACACGCGTGCTTGCACGATGCCTCGCTTGGCACGCCTGCTATTCACGGTCAAGATTTGCATGTTCTGATTGGGCCGTGCACCACCGTCCGCATTCAGATCAGTGCCGCCACTGGCATGCAAGTGCACACGGCGCGGCGGCGATTGCAGATGACCCTCGCTCCCTGAATGCATCCCGCCTGCCACACTGGATCAGAAGATATTGGCATCGTTAGATGCGAGCCGTGTTTCACGAGCACCAAGCAAAAAGTCTTTCAAGATGGATGCATGCGACTCTTCTTTCCTTCAAAGACACCCTATAAGCCCTAAGCTTCTGACGGCCTTGTCCAACACTGCCTCCGAGCTTCCCTTCCAGAAGTGTGCAGCTGGACGCTTGAGCTTGAAGCGTCAGCGTGGGATCGGACCGGGGAGTGCTTCTTGCATCTGGAAGTGGAGTCGTCACAAGCCGCCTTCCGCTTCTTCCTTCCGCTTCCTTCTATAAGTGCAGACTCTAGCCTGATCGGCAGCTGAGGGGGCGGCAATGGCGGCAGCGGGGCTTGAGCTCTCCAAGGCACGTGTCATCCAGAGGTGCTCCTTGAAGAGATCTTCTCTGCTTGGAGGGGCCACGGCCGCCACGGCCGACCCGAGGTAGGGCTTCGTTCAGTGCCTTCGAGGCTTCGGCCCTGTGTCCCGGCCTGCCTGTTGAAGCAGCGAATTGTGGTCCTCAGTCCTTCGCCTCGTGCCGCGCTGCCTCTGCAAAAGTGCGGAAGCAGCCTCAGGCCGCTCAAAGCAAACGTCACCTCCGACTTCCGACCGCGTGCTTCCTGTGAGGGCAGGCTGCCCGACCGGAGAAGCAGCTGAAAGGCAGTTGAAAGGCAGTCATACTGTGAACCTTTCTTAAAGCTTGAAGCTCCAGGACCGAAGGCACTGCAACGCGGGAAGATGCAACTGCATGTTTTCCTGGAAGCAGCACATGGCTTTCCGTGTTGACGGGCTGGTAACCTGGGGTATGTTTGGAAGTTGGAGAAGTGTCACAAGACACATTAAGTAGCCGAAGAGAGAGCCTGGCCCTCTCAGATCCCCCAATCCCGGAAACACTCTTCGGCACAAGCCCAGGGGAGTGGGTCAGCTGCGGTGTGAAGACAGGAGCAGGCTAGTCGGCTAGTCCACAGCCGAGTGCAACTGTGAAGTGTCTTCGGAAGAACTGGCTACTCGCCTTGGTCCGGTGTGGCTTGAGCAGCTGATCACCACGGCGCCCAGTTCAAGAGGTTCCTGGAGGTTCCCTCTGTTTTGCCAGGTCTTATCCCTAAAACGTTGTACCTTTGCCTGTCACCCTTCTGGCCGTTCAGCCTCACTTCTGCGGGACAACCTGCTCCGAAGCAAAGGCATCACCTGGAGCTGCAATGCTCGACGCGTAGGATGTGGGTGTTTTTTTGTGCGCCGATGCCTTCACTGAGAGAAAGTTTGGCCATATGCTGGCAGGCATTGCAAACATTGTGTAAGCCACTTGTCGCGTTGCGGATCGGCTGCTTCCAGCGTTGCGAAGCTTCAGTCACAACGTGAGAAGCCCTGCCAG